TTTTATCTGTTCTCCCATTGGTTGTAAACACTTTCTTATGCCTGTTACTCCTCGTGAAATAGCATAGGCCGCTCACCAGCATTCTCCATCCAACCCTGTCCTGGGCAATCTTTTCTAGCTCCGTCCAGTTGTAATTCATCGTTTTCATATCTGCTTCTATTATCCGACGCAATTTGTTCTTTGACCTTCCTTTTTTTCGCTTCCCTTCAGGATTCCAAGTTAGGGCTTGCCTCGTGATGCAGTTTGACGATTTGCGTAATGTATGTCCTATCCATTTCCATCGTCTTTTCCTAATTTCTTCTTCAGCTGGAAGTTGGTTTGTTCTCTCCCACAGAAGGCTATTGCTGATGGTATCCGGCCGATGGATGTTGAATATCTTGCGTAGACAGCTATTTATAAATACTTGTACTTTCTTGATAGTGGTTGTTGTAGTTCTCCAAGTTTCAGCTTCATACAGTAGAACTGCCTTGACGTTGGTATTGAAGATCCTGACTTTGATATTGGTTGAAAGTTGTTTTGAGTTCCATATGTACTTTAATTGTAGGAATGCTGTCCTTGCTTTGCCAATCCTTGCCTTTACGTCTGCGTCTGAACCTCCTTGTTCATCGATGATGCTTCCTAGATATGTGAAGGACTCGACATTTTCCAGAGTTTGGTCATCAAGAGTGATTGGATTGTTGTTTTCCGCTTTGAATTTGAGGACTTTGGTTTTCCCTTTGTGTATACTGAGGCCTACTGATGTAGAGACTACTGCTACACTGGCTGTCTTCATCTGCATCTGTTCGTGTGTACGTGATACGAGGGCTAGGTCATCTGCGAAGTCCAAATCGTCTAATTGATTTCGAGCTGTCCATTGTATTCCGTGTTTTCCTTCAGATGTCGAGGTCTACATAATCCAGTCGACCTCCAGAAGAAAGAGGAAGGGAGAGAGTAAACAGCCTTGTCTTACTCCGGTCCTTACTTGGAATGCATCTGTCAGCTGTCCTCCATGCACGACTTTGCACTGTAGTCCGTCGTATGAGTTCCGGATAATATTGACAATCTTCTCAGGAACTCCGTAGTATCGAAGAAGTTTCCATAATGTCCTCCTATCTACACTATCGAATGCTTTTTCATAATCAATGAAGATGATGTATAGTGATGAGTTCCACTCAACTGATTGTTTGACGATGATCCGTAGTGTTGCAATTCGGTCTGTGCACGACCGATCGTTACGGAATCCAGCTTGTTGATCTCGAAGTTGGGCGTCTACTGCATCCTTCGTCCGGTTCAGCAACACTCTGTTGAAGACTTTCCCTGGTATTGACAGCAGTGTAATGCCTCTGTAGTTTTCACATTTGCTCAGATCTCCTTTCTTTGGAATCTTGACGAGGTGTCCTTTCCAGTCCATCGGCACTTGTTCCTCCTCCCAAATCTTTTTGAGTAGAAGGTAAAGCATGTTTGTAGTTACTTCGATGTCTGACTTCAGTGCTTCAGCTGGTATGTTGTCGGGTCCTGCTGCTTTCCCGTTCTTGATTTTTCTTATGGCCATTCTAATTTCTTCCGTCGTTGGTGTGTTGACATCTATAGGAAGATCTATGTGTGTTGCTTCGATGTCCGGTGGATTCATCGGAGCCGGCCTATTCAGGAGTTCCTCGAAGTATTCTACCCATCTGTTCCGCTGTTGTTGAATTTCGGTGATTGGCTTGCCTTCTTTGTATTTGACTGGTCTCTTTGGTTTATTATATTTCCCTGGTAGTTTCTTCGTTGTGTCGTAAGTCTGTTTGATATTTGCAGCTTTTTCCGCCGTCGTTTCTAGTTCTTCCACGTATTTCTGCTTGTCGGCTCTAATGCTCCTCTTCACTTGCTTGTTTGCTTCTATGTATTCAGCTTGTGCTTGGACTTTCTCTGCTCGTGTTCGGCTGTTGTTTATTGCTGCCTTCTTGTTCTTCCTTTCTTTGATCTTGTCCAGTGTTTCTGTAGAGATCCATTCCTTATGATGGTATTTTGTTAGACCCAGAACCTCTTGACACGTTGAAGTTGATGCTTCCTTGATGCCTTTCCAGTTGTCCTCCATACTAGTCTCTTCTTCCTTCCGTAGATCTTGTAAGGCTTGGAACCTGTTGTTGAGAGCTATCTTGAATTCATTGAGTTTGTCAGTATCTCGAAGGAAGGCTGTATTGAACCTTTGTAGTGCTGTTTGTCCTGTTGTCCAGTTCTTTTTTACCTTCAGTTTTAAATTGGCCACAACTAGGTGGTGATCTGAAGCTACGTCAGCACCTCTCCTGGTTCTCACATCTTCCATTGTCTTCAGTGAGTTGTTATCTCACAACAGACCGGTTGAACTCCACTGGTAACGGCTTCTCACTAGAACTCCAGGAGTTTTTCTTGAAGTCAGTCACTAGTGAGCAGTTGATTAAAATCAGAATGGGTTTTTGTGGAGAGTTTAAGAAATTCCACAAGTTGAAATCATGAGTCAGTTGAAGCTAGACCACCATTGAAAACCTGGAAGCACTGGACGGCCGTTTCACCCTAGTATGGGACAACTCACTGAAGACAATGGTGTACGGTGGCGCAACTTCTTGGATTGGTTGAAGTTAGACATTAACACCGTTGGATGCCGGCTCAGTGGTCTAGTGGTTAAGTGCTCGCGCGCGAAGCCAGTAGGTCCTGGGTTCGAGCCCCGCGTGGTGCGGGATCGTGGATGCGCACTGCTGAGGAGTCCCATACCAGGACGAAACGGCCGTCCAGTGCTTCCAGGTTTTCAATGGTGGTCTAGCTTCAACTGACTCATGATTTCAACTTGTGAAATTTCTTAAACTCTCCACAAAAACTTATTCAAATATTGTTTTACAATGAACATCAAACTGCGATTGGTTAATAAAGAGATACAGTCGCACAAGGTCAAAGGGAGTTAATGTGGTGGTGAGCGTTTCACTTTATTATTGGTGGGTTCGTCTATCGATCACATTTTACAACGTTTAATCTTTGTAAATCATTAGTGGAATCCACTGTTCATTAGTATTATTAAAAGATAATAATCACTGAAGAGAAAGAATAACGAATTCTACTAATCACTAGATCTAATTATATTTGATTCATTAAGAGGAAGATCTCTACATAAATCTCTAGGATTCGTTTTATGACAAGTCATAAGTGTACAATTATTAGAATTTACAAACTAAACTTTCCCTTTACTAATCAACAATTACAACTGACTTATTTAGTGAAAGAAAAGTTTGCTCACTACTTCATATTCATCAGTTCATATGTAAAAGAATACGTAAACCAATGATTTGTGTTATTTTTCATTCTTATATTTCAATTTAATAGTCAAGATCATGAGTCGATTGAAGTTAGACCACCATGGAAAACCTGGAAGCACTGCATGGCCAGTTCGTCTTATTGTGGGACGCCTCAACAGTGCACATCCACGATTCTGTCTCATGGGATTCGAACCCAGGACCTATTTTAACTATAATTCCACTATATAACAAAATACTGATAAATATAATGTTGTGTTGAAGTGTTGCCTATGTTCAAGATAGCCTTGAAATACGTTTAATTATTTACTGAATCTACTGTTTGGTTGATACAAACTTTTTTCATTTATAAACTTGAATAAGAAGAAGGAACAAATATTGTAACACAATAATATGAATCCAATTATCCTCTGGATTCGCCACAGCTACTTACAACCTAAAAACCATCGTATTGATCATTAAAAATAAACAAGTGTACATCCTTTATATCGGAAATATTTAGAATAAATTGAGTCAACATGTGGACAACAATGTAAATTCCTGTGTATTATTATTTCTATTTCCAAATAATTGACTCAATTTATTCTAGACGTTTCCAATGTAAAGTATGTATACTTGTTTATTTTTAATGATCGATACGATGGGTTTTCGGTTGTAAGCAGTTGTGGAGAATTCACAGAATATTTTTTGTTCATTCGATGTTATTGTAAAAGTTTTATTGTTCGTCAACTAGAAGTAAACATCAATGATAAAGTACAAAATGTCAAATAGTAACTTCATAATTAAATCTTTTAATTCGGATAATCTAACAACATCAAATGAATTCATTTTTGAATTACTGTTGTGTTTGAATGAACTAATGATTCTTTTGTACTTGTTAACTGCTTGATTCTGAATTTCAAATACAATACAATTCGTTCGTGTTCATCTAATACTTCTTGGTTAAATTGCATTATTTCTGGGATTCTTAATTTGTGCTATAATTCAAATACTTATAATCATCACAATTTCATAATATATCTGTCATTTTAAAGTGTTTATTGATATTGAAAAAACAAATTGTCGACTATGTTAATATTACTTTTAAGGTTAAGACCAACTGTTTAGAACTATGTTTAGAATAAAACAGTATTAATGAACTTAAATTATGATCCTGTTTGTCAGATAAACTTAGCAGACTGAAATAAAAGGAGATTATAATGATTAGAATTATTCAAATTATTGTACCAACTAGGAATTCCTGAAATAGTGTCATTTACTGTGTGTAGAACTAGACGTACACAAATGAATGTATTGTACTTAGAACTCGTAATCAACAGGCAATCCACTACAAAAGAATCATTCATTCGTACAAATACCATAGAAATATAACAAATTTAGAAAGGGGAAGGCATCCTCATTTTGGAATAAGTTTATATCCAGCTTTGAGTTTACTTACTAATATTCAGTTGCACAGCTTATCATGTTATCAAAGACATTAACTGGTGTTTACTAACAAAATCACATTTTGTTTATATCAAGTCTTGATATGTGTAACTTCGTAATACAACTGTATGTTAAAAGAGATGTGTAAAACTAATAAATGCAGAATCTCTATTCCTGTTAGGTTATTGTGAAAACAATAACGATGGTTTTGTAGTGACTCACTTTTGTCACTAGAACACGACTCGTTTAATAAAAACAATTATTATTACAACCAATTGTACGAGTGATCGTTTTAATGTCCTTTTGTTTTACTGTGCTAATGACAGCTATATCGTGCTTTCATTCCTGTACCTTCACTTCGATTGTAACTTCGCGCGAATTCGGTTATATTCTGTAACCAAGCTTGTATCCTGGCACGATCTCGGTATCCTTTCGATACCACGAGATCGCCAGCAAATAAACATCGACTTGGTCCATTAATTGCCTTCTGATATTTGGTTTCTCGGGGGATTTTATGGAGTCATTAGAAACGAGCTTCTTGGTAACGGTGTTCATAGTCAATCTCGACTCGACGCCACGCTACAGTTTCATCTGTCATTTTAATTATTTGGCGTTTAAACATGCCTATTAGGTATAGATAGTGAGTGGGAAGATAACGGTTATTCATATTAGTTTTCCAAGTTAACAGTCTTTGATTTAAAAAGCAGACTAAGAGTTTAGAAAACCTTGCTCCATGGACACATGAATTTGTGAACCAAATGGAACTCTTATCAATAAACGCTTCGGTGCCAGATTATTTCTTCTATTAAAATCAGAAAATATTAACTATTCAGAAATGTGATGAAAGATTATTAGTTCAATATTAAGATCAAGCTAAACATTCGATTGACAGTCTATTTTTCTTATATGATATAATGGACAGTACATCTACTTTATCAGCTTCATTAACTTTCAAATATTTTTTTTAATTTTTCTCATATACCCTACAATTGGATTATAATAAAAAAAATATATAGCTGCAGTAATCGACTATGTATTGCTCCACTGAAATTTATTATGCACACATTTTCAGATTGTGCATGTGTATGTCAACCGAATGATAAACGATGTTTTGAATTGTTGGAAGGGAAACGTCAATTCACAGCTGAAGAGTAAGTATTCTTTTGCAGTAAATTGGTTTTTGTCATCAATAAGTTTGAACGTATCAATTAAAGTGAACTCTCCTTAATATTGTTCTATAGCCTATTATGTCATGCATTTAAAGATGGGATGTGGCTCGAATAGCTTAGCGATAATGGTTGTAAATCAATTTCTTTAAGACTGTAGATATTCCTTGTTTGTGAAAGTCAACTATCATGAAAACTAAACCCATCTCATCGTACCAATTTCCTCTGATCATCATTAATTAAAACGAAGAACACTCCCAAACTGGTGATAAAACTACAGATTGGTCTGTAAAATTTAATCAGAGCTATAGATCTGACAAACGTGATATTGACTGCAATTTTGGAATTATTAAGTGTATTGGTAGAAATCATATGGCTAACTGTCCGGTTTAGGAAGTAGTAGCATTTCTTCATCATTTTATGTACAAATTGACGATTAGTTGTGAATTATATATATTTGAGTATTTGTATGCTTGTATAAATGCTTGTGGAGATGGACCTGTCAAGCTTATTTTGTAAATAGTTTTCAATGTTATTTGTATTTACTTTGTCAACCTTCCACTGTATGTATATTTAACATTAAATGACTGTAACTGTTGTTTTAGTAAATGACCTTGAACACACCTTCCGTTGTACTACTACATTGCGTGCCATACCGCTGCTAGCTAACAAATACAACGCTTCTCGCACACTCATCGTTCTATTTCCATTTGTGATTGAGATATCCGAAGTCTAAATCAAATTCTATCTTCATTTATAGACTGTAACCGAAATATATCACATTCAACGTTGGATTATATCATTAGAGAGTTCACCAACTTGTTCAGAATCAACAAACATTTATAATTGTGGATTTACTTTACTGGACCTAATCCTAACACGCGACGTCTGATCAATTTAAGTAACGTCCCCAATTTTTACTGTATTTGTGACAATTAATTATATATATTAATATTACTATTGATTTTTAATAACTTTGTTTATATTTTTTGTGTTCATATCTGTTTGGTCCACCACATGCTAAACAAACTGATTAAACTTCGTAGAACTTGACAAAGAATCGGATTATGTGGGTGTTTTTGTCAATGATGTTTAACCATTGAATAGCAAACAAGGTCACCTTAGAATATGACTTGGTTTCACGATAGCCTTGTGATGCTACTTACAATTTTAATATGGAGCCTGTAAAATAATAATAATGATAATAAAGGTGTCTAATTTCTTCAAACAGAAACATAGTTACATAACTTTCTAGAAAAAATACATCAAGTTTACGCTGTTCATGTGCTGTGATATTCACTATTTTCTTTGTTTTACAGAATCCCATTACCACTGAATGGTTCTTACATCTTACCACCTTGTCGTTATGGTGTAATGGATGATTTACACTTATATCATAGACATTGCCCCGGACCAACTAGAAATACGCTTCCAATTAAATAATTTGATAACATAAAATGAAACTAAGGGGAAACTTAGTTCTCTCACCTACCACTAGCCAGGTGTCAAATAGTTTAACAATTATATATGGTTTTTAGTAAGTAAACCACGGAAATGGAGTATAACTAGGCAAAATCGAGCAATCTATCATATTTTTTTTCAGTTGTCTTCTGTATTTTCATTGATCTTACAGTTACCACTCTGATTTATACATGCATACATACATACAAATTAGACATCAATACAAACATACGATATCCGTCATTGTCTCTATTGTAAATCGAAAACTTTGCTTAACCATGAAAATCTCAATCACTTTGTAAATGTATATAGTATCAATTATCTATATTCTATTGAATGAATTTCTGATAACTAAATTTATTTCTAGTATACTCTCGTTGGGACTATCCGCGATATGAAAGATAAAGAGTTATTTATACTGTCTTATTTGTGTAATTGTTATAAAACTCATGATATGAGAATGAAGTTGTAGAATGTGACTAGTTCAATGGGTTGTCTTGACAATACTAGGTTCATTATATTTTATTACTTAGTATCAATTAGATATTTGGAACTGAAGTCAACGAAATTCACCTATTCACTAAGTTATCTAATAAACTGGAAACATTAAACATGTGGATTAAATAGTATCTGTCCCAGTCACTAAATTACATAAGTTTATTGACAGTCTAATGATGGATGAAGAGAACTACAATGACGTAGATATCGAAGCGCATATTTTGGGGACTCTTTATTATCACTATGAGTTAATATACTTTCCATAAAAAACTCTTTGTGAGATGATATAATTAATAATGTTGCAGCACAATAGTTATAACTAAGTATATTTTTATGAATAGATGAACGAGGCTTAGAAACAACAAAGTTATGTGAGTAATCTCAATAATCATAGAAATGTAACATAAATCACTTGTAATAAAGTATAGTTTTTCGACCCAGTCTGGTACATACCTAAAATTGCTATAATTCTATCAAGTTTACATGTGTATCTTTTTGGCATGAAGCTACTATATAACAGAAAATATTTCAAAGTTTTCATTATCATTTTCACCTCAGTAACATTTTAATTCAGCCTTTAAATTTATTCTTCTCTAGATGAGCCAAAATGAGACTGAGATTTTTCATCTAACTACGAACCACAAAACAGCGTTTAATTGTTCATCTCAATATGATTGATTAATTGTTCTTCTTACTTACTGAAAGCCTGGTTTGTGTGTTCGACTATCAGCCATACTTTTTGTGACTAAAGACTGATGAAATTATCTGGTTTTCTAAAATGAAATAGATGAGGTTGAGCTTCAATTTGAAACTTGAGAATCGAATATAGAGCCCTTCATTTGATGTCTGACTGTTCCATCACATTTGCATTATAGGTAGTGAAAGCAACCATATAAAGTGTTAATTAAAGTACCTGCAACATTTGATATGAGAAAAGACACCTGCATATCAAATAAACATGTAGGTGTGCACTTAACCTCTAGAGAATCGAGAAAGGTAAATTTGCATAAAACTTGGAGATCCTAATGGACTTCTCAAATACCATGTTAAATTATTCTTTCCAGTCAACTGAATGAAAGAGGTTAATCATGTATATACAACCATCATAATTTATCTACAATTCATCGGGTCAAAATAGGTAAAAATATTTGTACTTTCTCAACCACAAAGTCAAATATGTAACCCACAGAAATTAATCCGAACCAAAACAGAGTTATTGAAGTATGGGTTTATCAAGTTTAATGACCAAAATGACATTGAATAACTCATTGTATAGTCAAATCTGTAAACGAATAATATACAGATTAATATGGTGAAGACAATCAGGTCTTTCGGAACTCACCATACCATGCATATAATATTTCTCTGTCATTTTACTTAGTGGTGTGGCGACATAATTTGTCATTACTTATCAGCTCCTTTAAATCTCAGAGTAAAGTAACTTCCTTGTGATAAACCGATATCGCGGCACTAATCACATTTTGACTTTAATAAAGTCTTATGCGCTTCCCGTCAAATTAACGTCCTTTGTTGCCTTGGTACATTGATGTGGGTGGTGACTAACCATTATTCCTAGCCTATGTTCATGTGGAAACCCTATTTATCAACGTACACACGAACACAAACTAGCAATTAAGCGACATGATATATTACTTTATGGGCAGTAAAATAATACTGAACACTAACAAAGTAGTATTATTCATCCTCAACATTGCTCAGACACCGAAGATTAATAATCGAACAGAGATTTGTCAGTACAATCTCGAGGTCAGTCATAACCAACAAGGATTTCTTGGTGGATTGAGTAGGGTTGACACATCAAACATGCTGGTTGTATTGCGCTTGTGTTATTCTTCGTCCTGTTTGTCTGACTTCACATGTTGTTTTGTTAAAACTTAAGCAGGATAACCTGGACACCAGATTACGGTGGACCAGGCTGGAGAATTGTTGGATTTGTGGTGGTCGTTATTCAATATAATCCTTAAACTTCGTATACAGTTCGACTTGATAACCGTCACTAGATAACGCACCAACGATGTATTTATTAGAAGGCGAATACGAAGTGTTTATTACGTTTATTATCGCACCACACACAGATATCCTAATTTACAAGTACGCTAAGCAAGCATGGAAGAGTAGTGCGTACGAGTCGAATGAGCGAGTTCACAAGTCAACGAGACAATGAACATGATTAAAATGTACATATATATATATATACATAGTGAAATGAATAAATCATCGAATCAATTAAGCGACTAATAGTATGCGTAGGCAGTAAGCAATGCTCAAGAATACATATTCATACAAGTTTAACAATAATAAAGGTACAATAATATAGATAATTTTTTATTGTACTGATGACTCTGTACGTTGAATAAGTTAAGAAAGAGCTTAACCAAATTAAATGTGAACAAACTCAATTGCATGTGAGCTGCTATAGATTGACTGGCGTAAAGTCGATTTTTATCCAATTCTATTACTTTGCTTGCATCAGCGGACACAAACAACCACTGATATGCATTTGCTAAGGGAAACGTCGGAAACCTACACAAAAAAGGCCTATGGAACCCTAAAGAATCTCCAGGATTATAACTTCCAGACCAATTTGCTTTAAATATTTGATGAGCAGATAAAGTGAAATGAAGGTCGAAAAATTACGATAAAAAACACAAAAATAGGAAGGAGTCACTATGTTCTGTAGTCTAGTGGGTTCATTTGGATTCAGAATTGTATAAGCTGGTTAATCTGTTTAAATTATTCACGTATTGAGTCAGACTGGTGTGTTGACTGTAATAGGAGCATATCAACATTCACTTATTGACTCTGAAAATCAGATTTATTTAAGTGAATCTTATATCCGTATAGTCGGCTACAACAAGGTTAATATTTCATACTTTCGAACCATATAACTGCGTTATGTTTCTCTTCAGTTTAAAAATGTCACATTTGAATGAATAGGACTTAATTACCTGACCCAAGCAAGCAATAAAGAGGAAATAAAGGCGAACAAAGGAGAAATAAAGGGGATGAAAGCGTAAATAGAGAGGAAATGTCGCTTTTTCGCCTTCACGTCGGTTATTTAGGAGAAACGTCAATTTCCCCCCCCCTTACGTCGTGTATTTGGGGAGAATTTTTCGACAATTATACGTAACGTGAGGTGTTTGAATATGCCGCATCCCGTACTTATGTTTTCATAAACGTTGACAAAATAACGCACTGTTTAATAAAAGAACTATTATCATAAACAAAAGTAACAAAATACGGACACAGGGGTTTGATTGAAACGCATGTACACTGACTTCGTTTTTTGTTTAGCTAAAGTGTTCCGACATGCTTGGTAGCCATCACAAATAACTTACGTGATGCAAGTGAGTGACGAGCTCTCTGTTTTTCATATTCATTATAACTGATTACCTTGTTAGTTCTTTACGATGAGTTCGATTAAAGTCACTGAGAGAGCTCATAGACGTAGGGCAACTGTTAACTTGTCAAGCGTCCTTGGCTGTCATAGATCGACCTATAACAGACGGTGGACTAAAATGCGGATAGCTTCCATGAAAAAAAACATAACTTGGTTTCGTTTAGTCAGTTTGCTAATGAAAGCGTGATCAAAAGTAACTGACTTTAACAGCGGTGTATGTTGAATTGAGAGTAGTCAAGAGAGAAATGAGAATCATTCAACCGTTACACCATCCACTAGCCACAGCAATGAAAGGCTTCTAGTTAATAATGGCATGCATATGAAGTGAATACGTCAATATACTTCTTATAGGATGTAATGACGTTAATTTATGCTCTCAAAAGTCCGTAAATCGTAAAGCGCAGATCAACAATGTGTTGATGAAATTACTTACAAAAGATTTCTCATCATCAGCGATGCTGATCGAATTCTGATTGATTTCACGGACGTGGTTCCGGAATTACCAAGGAGCATCAGAACTGTTCTAAGGTCGTGCTCAAGTGTCCAACCAAAGTTCATCAGCAATGGGGTTTACTACCACCTCGGATTGAAAACCAATCTGCTAAGATATGTTGAAATTTGGTTGTGTACTTTTGATTTTGATGCTTTAATTTTGTATATTAATGTAGATGTACTTCCTATGTCTAGGAGCTCTAATCAACATTTATGGCCTGTATTAGGACGGATCGTTGCCCCAAGGTTTAGTGACGTGTTCGTGATAGGGATCTATGGAGGGAATACCTAGCCAGCAGAATTTAACGAAATTTCTGCGGACACCATTTCTGAAACAAAAGAAATGACTGACGTGGGTCTGCTTAGTGTTAAGTCCAATAAATACGTGGCTATTAAGTTGTCTGCATCTACTCGTTCTGATGTTAGATACACGGTTAATCACAATGGAAATGCGGGTTCCGACAGGTGTGTTGTAGTTGGTAGACGGCTTGAGGGAAAGATGAATTTTCCACATGGTGAATATACGCTGCAAACGGACGACAGCTTTCGTCGTCAGACTCAATCTATTCACCACCAAGGCCATTCTATTCTGGAAACCCTTCCAATTAATATGACTTCAACTTTCCCATTAGATCCCATGCACATGGTGTACTTAGGTGTCACAAGAAAGCTAGACAATCTATGAATAGAATTAGCGCACAAAAGAATGTTAAGCATGAACTCATGTGTAATTAGGGATATAAAAAAATTTAATATCTAGTTGTGTGGCAAGTACTCCCTCCGACTTTCAGTGTAAATGCCGCACACTAAACTTCCTATCCGTATGGAAAGCTTTGGAGCGTAGATTGTTTCTTCTATATTTAAGACCCTTA